TGCATGTTTCAGATCATCAAAGACATTTAAAGGTTAGATAACCTGAGTGAATACTAAGTGCAGTTTTTAAATGATAAGTTCATTTGTTGAGGGGACACAGTTATCCAGACCTACCTGTGAAAAAGCAACTGTCCCCTAAACTCAATAACTAACTGTGCCACTCTTGGCAGCAAGAACGGCAGTCAAGTGTTTGTGATAACTGGTAATGAGTCTTTTGCATCACTGCTGTGGAACTTTGTCCCACTCTTCTTTGGAGAATTGATTTAGCCACATGCCAAAGCATCTCAATCAGACTTAAGTCTGGACTGATTAGGCCACTCCAAAGCCTTAATTTCATTTTTTGAGGCATGCAGAGGTGGATTTGCTGGTGTGTTTTGGTTGATTGTCCTGCTTCATAATCCAAGTGTCCCTGGAGCAGAATTCATGGTTCCATCAATTACAGCAGGTCGTCCTGAAGCAGCAAAGCAACCCCAGACCACCACACTACCACCACCACGTTTGACTGTTGGTATGATGATCTTTTTATGAAATTCTGTTAGTTTATGTCGGATGTGAGACGAGCCTTTGTGATCTTCTTGGTCAGCAGTGGTTTTCTACTTGAAATCTGAACTTAACTGAGACAAGTGAGGCCTGCAATTCTTTAGATGTTGTTCTGGGTTCCTACGTGACCTACTAACGATGAGTCGTTGATGCGCTCTCGGAGTAATTTCTGTAGGATGCATGTCTCAAAGCCTTAGAAATTACTTTGCAACCCTTTCCAGACTCATAGCTGTCAATGTTTCTTTAGATTGTGGCAGGATGTGTTGCTTTTTGAGATCTTTTAGCCTGCTTCACTTATCAGACTGGTTCTATTAGGTGATTTCTTCATTCAGCAAGTTTGGCAGTAATCACACCTTGGTGTGGCTACAAAAAAAAATGAACTTCACTTCCAAACACATCACTTTCTTTAGTCACGTATATGCATGATTGGCATCACATTGATATAAAAATAAAACACAGTCTTCTGCATAAACCTGTTATGAAAAAAAAGCACAGAAATAAATAAATTACTAATGACCTAATTAGTAGACCTAAATTAACTGCTGACCTTTGCGGTAACTGATATGTACAGTTTCCCATTACAGTGGTTACATATGAACACAGCTGTAGACGTTCTGTCTTACAGCTTTAACCGATGTACAAACTAAATAAACAAGGATTCAGTTGAGATAATGTTTATCCATCACATTTACTGAATGATGACAGTGCCTGATGTCAAAACAGATTTTTCTCCCTGCCCTTGATAAATGCTCTGAAAACAAACCAATCAACCAAACCCGAATTACAAATTAAAATAAACATCTTTTTCAAAATGTTTAAACACGAGAAGTGCTACTGTTCACCGAACGTCTGAAACATCACAAGACCTTAATTAGGTGAAAACTGCGTGCAAATTCTTTGACGACAATGTCTTGAACCTTGGCCTTTCAGAGGCTCCCCCAGCCTCGTGTTGACCGCGTGATGCAAAGCACCCTAAGACGATGAGAGAGAGAAAAAAAAAAAAACCTGACAAAGGCGGTTGACATATTCTAGGCTCAGCCTCTTGCATTACTTCCCTACAAATCCTAAGACAGAACATTTGTTTCACTCCCTTGACTTAATGCTTGTAACTCCAAACCTTCCCCCAAAATCTGCTCCATATTAGCTTGATGCTACAGACGATCAAAGAACAGCATGTGATGCATTAAGGTGCATTTCATTAGGACAACACAGCATCAACAAAAGAAACAAGGCACACTCCATTCCAGCTGTAGAAAAGTTCAGTGGGATGGTATCTGGAGGAAACATTATGCAACCAGTGCTTTTACAGGCTTGTGTGCCACATGAATGAGTGCAATCATTTCCAAGTTCTTGGCTTAAAGCAACAAGCGTAATGGGACCAGACTGAGTGCAGAGTGCGTAGAGAGAAAACAAAGACACACTCGGTCATGCTC